AAATATAAAATTGACACTTAAAAAAAAAAAAAAAAAAAAATGAAATTAAAAACATAACACTTGTAATAAAATAACCACCACCAAATATTAAAAAAAAATCAATATCTTCCAACTCTGAAGCAATTAACAAATTATCAACAGTGAGCTATTCAAAATTCATCTAAATTTTTGAAAGAGTTGATCTAGAGGATTCTAGACACAATTCCCACATAAATAACAGTAACAGTAAATAAAGGTTGAGAACAAATGGTCAGGAGGATTAGCGCACTCACCCACTCGTATCTGTTCACTGTCCTCCGACCCAGCGAGTAGCTCGACGCTCTTGCTCATCTTATCCACCGAATACGCGGTTTGTATATCGAAGCTCCAGCTCGCGAGCCTTTAATCTCTTCTTGAAGTGCGCCAGTCTGCCGCATGCCGACAGCATGATTTCGTCGGGAGATCAACGAACCTAAGGAACATCGGCCACCGGCCGCATATCCCGAGTTTCCACGGGGACCATCGGCGAATGCCTGCCCAGATATTCTTGGATTCCGTCAACGCTGCTCCATGCTTTTTGCGATTCAAGCTGACGCGATCAACTGCCGTGATAGATGAAACAATCAATGAGAGACTGCGATGCCATGAAACTTTCATTTCTACGAACGCTTTCGGTAACTCCATTCCGCTCAAACAGAGAATTTAAAGTAAGATTTGTAGACGGATCCGAAAATCAAACTATGCAAACCTGCGCAAAGATGATGCAGCATTCATTACTATAGGTATAACTCTTTATATTTTATACTTTTATATATAATGCCGTTGTTGTATTTTGTACCCAATGTTTACGATTACTTAACATTTACAATAAATGTGAAGAAGAATAAATAATACTGTACACAGGTTTTACGTCTATTTTAAATTCTAAAGTATGGTTTGATTCACAGATATTGGTTGACGAGAATTATTTTTTAAAGCATAATAAGAGGAAAGGTTTCCTTCGTTTGTTGTACTGAACTTTACAGAAGGAGAGACCTTTGAGATAATTAATCGTTACTAAAGCTCCTACTATTCAAGTCATCTTGTTTCAAACAACTTAAAAGCATTTGTTTCTATTAAACATGACTTCTATTTTCTTCCATTCAATTAGCTTAAAACCTCTATTAATCTATTTTTGCTTTCTTCTAATAACTTGCAATCTGCTGGTTTCATGCTTCAAATAAAGTTGAACTTCTTTCAACTGTTCCTTGACTTCTAAGAAACAAGGGGCATAAAGTTAGTTCTAACTTTATACTTGATCATATTGATTCTCTGAACAGTGTTGGCTTTAGATATGTATGTGTATATGTGTATGAGATTGATTTAGATATCCATTTTCCGCTAGATTTGCCAATCTGAATTCAAAAGATTTGAAGAGTAAAATCTTTGAATTAGAATCTTTGAGATAGATTAGTAAATAATAATCAAATAAATCCTTGAATAACTCTCAGCAGCCAATATCTGTGACTTCAAGTATACACGCGTGTAAATGAGTAATTTCCTTTGTTGTACCCCGGCATTCATCAAACGTGCACAATCCAACGCAATTTAGTGTTTATTGTCGCGTAAATTAAAATACAGATCAAATGTATTGACTGGCCAAGGCTAGTTCTCCTCTGTTACAGATGAGAGTTTATAACATTAATTTATTGTAATAAACTGTGCCAATCATACAAAAGCGGAGGAATTCATCTTTTTCAAATCAAACTCATATAATAAAATCGATTATTGAATATTTTGCGCTTACATCTATTTTAAATACTTAATTTTAACTAAATACTTAATTTAACTAAATACTTAATTTTAAATACTATTTTAAATACTTATTTTAAATACTTAGAGTTAAACAACAAAAAAAAAAAAAAAATTAGAGAGAAATATAGCTATATACATATAATCTTCGATGATGTACTGTTTCTTCATCTACTTTCTAAATATATATTTCTTCATTTTTCGTTGTACAACAGCGTCTTTATTCTGAATGGCATGCCACTGAAGAAGAAATAACATTGGTCAATCAATACATTCAATCTCACTTTAGTAGTATTACGTCGTACGATAAAATTGTATACGTTTGGCCTGATTCTAATTTATCACTAGCTAACTTGCACTGAATCGGGATGTTCAACAAATGTTGATACAGGTATACATAGTTCAAATACTATACGTACTATCTGTTGCGCATCTTGCGTGACTACACAGTTCTATGCATCTACACAACTTTGCGCAGTGCACTTGTGTATGTGATTTAATCCTTGTACGTATTAGGATATCCTAAAAATATTAAGTATTTTAAAATTCGTGTTTATTAACTAAAAATGAAACAATAGAGTATTACATAATTGGAAATTTCCAATTGAAAATATCATGATAGACAGCGGATTTTTATGCACTCATGAAAAATGGTAAATACGTACCATTAAATATATATAATATAAATTATATAATTTTATATATATAATAACAAAAAATATATGAAATACTCAAAACATAATATTTAATACAAATATTTACAGCAAATATAAATATTATAGTATAATATTTAATACATGTCACAAATATGTCTTTTTCATTACTTTTAATGATATAAATAAATAATAAATTAATAAAATCATTCACTATTTTAATAATATAAATATCTATAATCTACTAATAATTCTTTTCATGATACCTATATACAACATGTAATTTTACTTCAATGAATGGTTTTAAAAATAATGATAAATAGAATAACTGAAACTACAGAATATTTTTACAGGATATCTTAATATGTTACTTGCTGCGTTATAAATAGCACAGTTATCACAGTTATTTGTATATTTCATTATACAGCAAATGTGATAACTAATTTGGAATGGAGAGAACATTATCGACCTTTAATGCATCTTTTAATAACTATATGTACCCAAAATTTTTGTGTTGCAGGCATGTAGATGTACTTATTATAAATGTACACTTGATTGTGAGAATTAATAAATGAAAGCATGGTGAGAAAACAATTTCAAGTTGTCACTATGATTACCCCTAATTGAAGAAGAAAGTTAGAGTTTATTAAAATAGCAGTCGATAAGTTAATGCGATTTGTACTCGGAAAACATGACAAACATACACTGTTTTTTTAAGAATAGAAATAACCTACCCTTATACAGGTATATATAGAGAGAACAAAGCATAATTAACGTGAAAAATTAACAGTAAAAGAAAATGATCACATGCATATGTATGTATGTCTCTGAATATGCGTATTTGAACTGATATACTGTGAACTGATTGTGAGTGAAATATATAATAGTAACATGGCATGTGTTGACAGTGTCGGCTTGTAATATTAACATATGGCGATAGTGTTACGCCTTAGTAGCATCCTACATTATTGAATAACATGTACCGGAAATATGCTGTGATACGCTTTGTAATTGCCTATAAAGTAAATCAATAGATTGCCCTTTCTATTAAATTCTAAAAAATAAACAATTTAAAAGTCTTGAATAAATCTTTTTTGTTGAATTATTTAATATTCAAAACTTTACCTCTGTTTTGTCCTACTGAATTTTCTTCAAAGCTAATCCCTTTGTAACAAATATTTTCTACAATCCGAACGATTTTCATATAAAAATTCAAATGATATAAATCCTCGCGTGAAATTGCTTTTACAATAAAATGATACATGTATACATCACAAAGCAAATATTACTCGATATAACACTCGATTCATTTTATTTTATTATTCGTTAAAAGAGGGAAAATGTAAAACATATCCATGGTAAAGGTAATCGCTTTGTGCACAATTTTTTTTTTTAATCGATTAAACATTCCATAAATTTGTTTAATTTATAAGGCACCGACCAGCACCAACGATAACCAGAAGCTACCCAGAATGATTCACGATCGCGTGAATTTGTACTATGCAAATTATTTCCGCCTTCAAGGCTCGAATTTCCAAAAATCTTCTAACAAATTAATAAACGACAAACTATATACAAATTCATACGTGAAACTTCTTTATTCTCTCTTTGTTCATTTAATATTGAACTGTTCAATAATGTTAAAAAATATAATAGAAACTTAATTTCATTCTATTTGACTCTGAATCAATATTGATACACAACATTTAGCTGAGATAGCACTAATGCTAATGTTCTAGTTTACACACTACTTAACTGTTTTGCTTAAACATTATTCACACGTGACTGGGAAACCCTATATCAGTGGGAAGGTAGGTTCAATACGTCTAACGGAAAAATTCTTTACAAGATCTAGTTAGTTACTACTTGTAGTACAATTAAGTATCACTCACATTAAATAAAAATATGAATATCACCTTCGTGGAAGTTATATATCAACGTTTGAGAAGTTTCTTCAAAAACGTTCTGCATTGTTATTCTTCAATTAAATCCGTGAACACTAGAATACATTACATACATGAATTTATGTACAAGAAATAATTTGTATTCGCAAAGCCAATGGTAACTTCATTTATTAATGAAGTTATTTTGAAAATAACCGACTTCTTTAATAAATTCAATATTAATTTTATCAAAAGAAACTTACAGACAAGACTGTGATTTTACTGTGGCCAGAATGATAATGCCATAAACTTTATACGTAGAGGAGAATGGTTGAATTGCAAAAACTGCGGAATAAATTCTAGATTTCAGCATGAGGTACGGAGGAAGGCGGAAGTTATCAAGGAAGTACAAACCGATAAGCAAATAACGGCAACGGAAGTCTTGAGAATATAAAAACCTGCCTCACTTGAATTACTAGATGTACGTTTGAGTTTGTCCTTTATTTAAGTTCTCTAATGCAACTTTTAATTGATTCACCGAGTTAATAGAAGTGGTTTCAGTTGACTTCGTTTTGATCAATTAAAGAGTTCCTGGGGGAGCGTTTTAAATGGCCTTCGAACGATAACTGGTATCACTATTGGTACATAAATTGTTATTCTAGAATCTTCGTGTTTGAGTATCTATAAAAAGAGATTGAAATGAAAATGATGGAAAATATTAGAATCGAATTTGGAAGTATGTGAACTCGACTTTGAATTTAGTTAGTATTTAAATGTTTGAATTTTTAATCAAAAGTTTAAATTTAAATATGAAATTTAAACTCAAATTAAAAGACCAGCCGCAGAAAATTTATCACGTCCCCACTAATTCTAAATATAATATCTTTTGAATTCATAATTTAAATGATGCACTTTGCACAGGCAGTTTTTACCTTTTCTTCATATTGTATAGTAAGCTCACTTTCTTTATCTCTGACCTGAAACCCACTTAAATGCCCTTTAAACTCGTTCAAGAATTACTCAAAACCATTTTCCAATAAAATGATCAAAAGATCTTCCTCGTTACACAACTTCTCATGAAAATAAACGACTATCTAAGAACATCATGCTTCCTTAATAAATTAATCCTTTAAAACTACTTTGTAATCTAATATACAATTGTTTTTTGCCAGCGCAAATACATTCAATATAGCAAGATGTTGCTCAGAGAAAGTAAGAGAACAATGGCTTAATTAATTCCAACGTGAACTGCTTAAACGACCGTCATCTTTGGCTTTTGTGTTTTGTCAAGATGGAAAACGCCACTGCATAATTTTATAAAACGACGCAAAAGAATAAATAATATTACTTGGTAAATATTCGACCCGAATCCGACTTAGTAGAATACTCATCATCGACAATGCTGCTCGATTTCATTTTTAATTCAATTAATTTCCACGTTACCAGCGAGACCACCAGCCAAAGGACACTTCAAGTTAACTCGGTTAGCAATTGTTGAAGTCCTCGCGGAGATTTGATATGCAAACAACCAGCCAACTGAATTTCTCCAGTTTGTTTCTTTGTTTCCACTCTGGTAAATGATTTTTAATTCTCTTGGTTCTTTACGAATATCTTTCTCGTTCCTCTTTATATGAGGAACAATCTGAAGAACTAGAAATACGATTACACGTTAATTAAAACGTTCAATTTTTAGAGATTCAATTCAATCAATACTTTGGAGGAAATTTCCGAAATTGATGTGATTAAAGTTATTGAATACTAGTTTCATCTAAAAATGATTATAAATTATCATTTAATAAACTATCTACTCTCTAATACCGAATTATTCTAATATTATTAATGAAATACTATAATTTTATAAGTTATAGGTATTAATTCTTTCAAATAATAGCAACAAATTTTATAATGAAATTATAGTTATCTATGATAGTTACAAATATATATAATATATAATAAAATATATATAATATATATAATAAATATATATAATAAAATCTATATATATATAATAAAAATATATATAATAAAATCTCTATATAAAAAGCTATATTTTAATAAATACAATAGTAAAAGGGATATAAAATGTTCGTGAGTATTTTAAAATCTTAGAATGTATTTTTTATCATTTAAAAGAGTTAAAATAATTATATTCACGTGAAATAAGGGATATGTTGAGACGTAGGACGCCACGTGGACCACCGTTGACCCATAATATTTATTTGTATCAAACTTATTTTAGATATCTAAACAAATAAATAATATCGTCATTGCATAACAAATTTTGTTTTAATTAAAAATTTCTTTGTTAATAATAAACAAAAAGTTATGAAAATTATAAAACATTTTTACTGTAAATTCTACAAAGTGAAAATTTGAAAATGAACGATATTGTCTTCATCAATGAATTTCAAAAAGCCATGATCTGAAAATTCGAAGCAATGTATATCAATATCAAAAATTTTCATAATTGATAAGAAAAGAATTCAAATTTAAAATGCAAACGTTTTTCTTTGCAGTCAATCGCATTATATCAAAGAAATGCGCAACGTTTCTTTTCAAGCTTAGAATGTTTTTAAATGTCCGTTTTTTTTTTTTTTTTTTAAATATAGATGGTCTGTATTCTTATGTACGTTAATGATTTAGGTTTTAATTGATCTAGACTTTTAAAACATACACGATATGCCGAAGTTTCATCTGCAGATAAACTTATCTCGTCATTTACAATATTAAACTCGTTGTTCGACAGAATCCTTGAAACGCTACGCTTAATATTCTTAAGTATATTCAACTTGCCAGGCTTTGTAGAATCTATTACAGAGTGCCAAATTGAAATTTCAATCGAAATAGCGTTTTCCATCATCAGAGTTTTTCAACGATTGTTGAGAAATAATGTTTTGCCAATTTCGGTGAAATGTTTTGATCTAGTTTCACCAAATACGTATCGTATGATTAATAACCTAGAAGAATTAGAAATTTATTTTCAAAACAAATTGAAAATTAGAAGAAACTTAAAAGAAAATTAAAGAAACTCCACTATATTTATTTGAATTAGATCAGTCTGGTAGCAAAACAAATTTATCCAAAAGGTTTCAATTTTATTTTACTCAAAATAAAATTTTGAGGTTACCTGCATATATAGGATAAAAGTGATTTGGAAACAACTGAGATTTTTACATATAACTTGATAGTTTGTCAATGATGCGACAGAAGATGAACTGTTCGCAAAAATTAGAATAATTTTATTAGAATGGAATTAACGAATTCCATAACGGTCGTATCCGATTCCGCAATCTTCTTCCTTCCGTCCACTCAGCTTCCGTAAAGATACATCCCCTTACTCGTTTTATCAAATAAACACGGCGTTAATAAGATTCACTTGACAATAGAAAGTGCCTTAAATCTCGACCGAATTTCCTCTCCGAATGTATCCGAATCGATCGTCGAACTTTTCTACTAAAATTCACGTGAAATCTTGTTATGTACGTACGTACTCATCTCGAACTTTCAATATTGAAATTTTCCAACTATTTTTTTTTTCACTTCCCTCATCGTGTTTTGTCTGAGGACGTTTATGAATCTACGGAAAACTTAAACACACATAGTAATACACATAATAAACAGACAAAACAAAAAAAATATATATAAATTTCCACAAATATCTTCGGTAATCACAATCAATATGGTTGGTCAGCATCGATACAAATTTGTATTGCTAGAAATACTATATTGCACCTATATGTTCTTACGTTTTATCTCCGTAATCTTGTTCCTCGTTTCTCAATTTCTCTCATTTCAGTTATCCTTTCTTTCATTAAACTTAATCAACAAATCAACCCAATAAACAGACAAAATCACTAAAATTAAAAATTATTTCCCTTCGCGTGTACAAAAGTGTATACGTGTGCGTGTACTTTTGTTACGAAAACATCGCCACTTAGTGCCGTCGTGTAAGCGCAGCATGCAATTTGAATGTCGAACACATTACCTTACGATCGCCTCGGAGAACACCGCGATGGACCCTGCACTTGTCGATATGATATCAACACGAAAAACGAAAAACTATATAACCGCGTGAAATTCTGGCGAGCCAGCAGGAAGATGCAAAAGAATGTATCACCCTTCACAAAACCCAACGCTTTCGTGTCCGAGAGGCCACTGACAGAACTCGCGATTCCCCATCTTGCTCGGATACTCCTACCCCCATTCTTTGCAGTGTCGCTGGAGGGGAGAACAGTGTGACTAGAATAGAAGATACGTGGAGGTACTAAAGCGATAGAGAGGGAAAGAGGCTTTATCGACCCAACCGAACCACCGTCATGCAAAAGGTAGAGGTAATGTACACTGGTAGCGATGGGTCTGACAGAAACGTTCATGGTTTGTAGTTTGTATCATGAGATTGTTTTTAAATGATTGCTTATTTAGATTAGATATGATACAAGCAGCGTAACTGACCCCACTTCTGTTCTTTGTCACATTTTCTTCATGAATTTCAATTTCACTTGTATATTATTTAAATAATAAATGTAATTTCTTCATGATGAAATGAAACTAAATTTAAGTTAAATCAGAGCGTAGAAAGAACGAACGTCTAATTTCATCTTACACTCTATTTAGACTAATTATTAGCAGAAGTTGAGTTATTTACATATAGTATTGGAATAAAAACAACACTAAAATTTTTTTCAATTTCAATTTCAAATCGCAATACTGTGATTCATTCAGTTCATTCTATTGAGTTTAAAAAGTTTTAAAATTTTTTTCTTATTGCAAATATAATTTTTAAAGATTCTAACTAGCAGTTTTGATACAGCTAAACGTGAGCACGACTAATGGTATTAAATATACAAGTACATAGTTAAATACTCACAAAGTGGCCACATTTTTTTCTAGAGGCTGTTGATACCACGTGGGGGATGAGAAGAAGAGGATCAATGCCATCACTATGCACATGCACGCTTCCGCGGACGATGTTAATGCACGACATAACGGCGCCAACGTGGTTTCCAGCAGGCAATAACAGGTCTTTCAAAATTTTGACGCTTCCAAGAGGGGTCGCGCGGTATGAGCAATTGAAGAAAGGGCAGGGAAACGAACAATCATAGATAAGCAGCTCGCATGCAACGATTGTTCCAGCGTCGTCCACTTTATCCATTAGGTCAATTTTCCACCGACCGATAAAGTATCTACATAAATAACATAGAATTAAATTAAAATTTAATATAAAATTATAATATAAAATCATAGGACTCTATTGTACCTCAGATGTTTTTAATCATTCTGAATGAAATTAATACAAATCTTTAAATTCTTACTATTTTAGTAAGAACAAGTATCTAATTTGTCCTATGTGATTTACAATAATATTTTTGTTCTTACATATTTTATTAAATAAACGACAAAAAGCGCCATTTTTATGAATGGTACGTTGCTCTATATTCATGATTAATCATCCTAATTTTTACTTTGTGTTCTACTAAATTTCTCAATGCGACTGAAAAGAAGATTGCATTAATTGAATCCATCGATCACGAAATTATTAAGCTTAAAATACTTTATCGATTTACCTAAATATTCCGATTTACCTAAATATTCCGATTTACCTAAATATTCAACGAAGCGTTTTTGCGAAACGTATATGACTCTCTTGGTGATCTTGAATTCTTGAAGAACCCTCTACTTTGCCAAAGGAGGCGGATTCTATTTCAGTAATGAAAATCTCATAATACTTAACGTGACGAAACTAAATTCTGCGTTAAGTTTTTATTAATTAAGGACAGTACATTAAATTGATTAGAATAACGTACCACGCTTGTTCAACGTTCGCACGCAATTTCTGTTTTTTTCCAGTATTCCCATTACGTTGCTCTCTAAAAGAAGAAATGTACACATGTATACGAGCAAAAGTTCAGATAAAGAAAAATTCGAGAAACTATTTCATCAAAAAAATAAGATAAAAAAATATATTCTGCTTAACTTTGTATATCATTACAAAGGAGTTTCTCTTCAGTATCTATCGTTGTTCATTTGAAACTAGTCACAGTCATGATCATCTTTTCTAAATATTTAATCGTGGTAACTATTATAATATATATTTTGTTTTCTTATACGTTACGTAATATCATGTGTAAAATAAAATTTATCGTTAGAAATGTTCGAATATTTTTTCGAAACGAGCTTACATTTATTTAATCTTTCTCGAATTTTCGATTAAAAGTTAGAAAATACATCGTACCTTGACAGGAATACTACATGTACATCAGATTATCTCGTTCGTTTAATTCGTCTTTCCATTAACAGGACATCAATTACACGTCCAATTACGAGACACACCTAGGTTAAAAGGCCATAATTCTACGAACTTATCATTCTGCAAATGATATACATACGTTTTTTTTTTCTTTTTTTTTTTTTATTAAGCTTGATACACGTTGTAAATGATTTATCACAGCCATTTATAAAATTCAAACGTTATCGCTAATAACAGATCAGTTGGTCCTCAAAACGTTCTTCCACTATTAAAAATTACACATTTCAAATGTCGTAATGGTCGGTTGCAAACATCTTATTTTCAAACGAAAGGTCAATAATATGAAACTGAATTACCGACAAAGGTAAAACTGCTCGTAAGTCAGCGCACTCTGCAACATTCACGACGTAAAATTACGTACTGGAAAATCTGACTTTTTTTTTTTTTTCATTCCAGAAAACTTTACTAAAACATATACAATCGCAATTTCACGTCGTGAATCGCTTCCACGTTCTTGGATGATTCTGACGAAACTGTCTCTATATTTAGCAGATGCAATATTCGCAACAATGTGTCTGATGTTGGCAACTATGTTCGGCGATCAGCCGCAGCGAACGAGCAGCGTGAATGTGAGTCGATCGTGACATAATATTGTTCGATCAACGCAACACATACTGTCAATATATCACGATTTATGCACTGCGTGTTGTTATACAGCGTAACTTAATTATGGTTTGGCCCATCGTCGCGCAATACCAAATGAATAACCTATAATATTCGATGTATCGAGAATCCCTGCGAATTTGAAAGGTTTGATTACGAAATTTTTCCTAAAGAGGGCGCGTTTTTCTTAACGGAGGGTGCATCACATTTTCACGTAATGCGATGAAACGAAAGAACAACCTCCTCCATCTGTAATTTCACTGTCGTATAAAAACGATGTATGTAACTTTTCAGAGTCGAGATATTTCACAGAAAACTACAGAGTAACAAATCACTTGAAGGTGCTAAATGCAAAAGTGCGAGAAGCTGCGGAACTTCGAACAGAAGCTTGTTGCGAACGTACCATGAGGTAGCGAATATTCACGAAGATATTTAAACTTCATCACGAACATGTTACGTGTGTTATGTGAAATATTTTTAAATTTCATTGGTACCATATTGAGACACGATTGTCAGAATTATATTATTATTATATATAATTGTCAAAATAATAACGTCAAAATAGTAATTTTATATAATTGTCATAATTATCATAATTAATTGTCACAATATAAAATTTAAAACGAATCTAAGAATGCATGTGTATTTTAAAAATTACAAGATCCGCAAAGATCGTAAAAGTATCAATTAATTATCCATTATCTATTTATTAATATATCTCAATATTTAACAGGATTATCCTTCACACTTATCATACGTTTACACCGTATACTAATTTTTATATGCAGCAAATACTTTGTTCTTTTATACACGTTCCGAGATTAATTTCAAACTTTGCCAATACAATTGTAACAAACAATCGTGTCTCACTATACAAGTACAATTCTCAAAATGTTGCAATAATTCATAATTTTAAAACTTTTTCCTTCTTAACACCGGCAGAGTCCATCAAATTTTCGTACGAAGAATATTCAAATAATTTCGTGAGTCGATGCATCAGAGAATTCAATGACGATTCATTAGAAAGTTTTTGAAATGAAACGAACGCTTCCAGCGTTAATTGTTCGAGCGTCAAACTGTTCAACAAGGCGTAACTTGCACCCCTCTTTGCATTTAATCCCATCAATTACATAACAGGAACGTGGTGACTGGAAGTGTTGCTTAAGAAGCAACACTTGTCAGCCGAAGGGTTGGAGATATTTCTGCGAAACCCTTACGGTTGGAAGGTTTACACACTTTACCACCGCAATGTTATGATACCTCGCTTCTTATATCAACGAAATGCAACATGCATTGTACAACAATTGGACTTGTACTGTGAAAGAATTTTCGCTTTTTTTTCCCAAGATTCCTTCAGTATATTGTGCCTTAAGATAAAGACAACAATGATTATAAAATGATTGCGCAATACAAACACACATACACACACACGTGTGTGTGTGTCTGTGTGTGTGGAATATCGAAGCTCAGTGATATACATATATCTGTATCAAATGTATAACATACATCACTGAACTTCGATATTTTTTAAGTATCTACATACATATCTTGAATATTATGTACACACATACAAATATAATATATAATATATACATTATATTTATATCATTTTACAGCTTTGCTTTGCTTTTTCGTCTCTTTCTTCTTCGAAGGATATAACAAAGAAAATGCTCGGAGTTTTAGAACTAAAAATTCCTATGATCTTATCACAGGAAATCACGATTGTACACGGTTGGTCACGATAAACAATCGATTCCATTCTTATCTGGACAAAGTAGAAAAAATATTTAAGTATAAGCATACACGGTATGCAGAATGCAGTTTTACGTTGGAATATAAAACGTATTGACAGCCTATTATTAAATAATTAAACAATAGCCTACTTCACGAGATTATCGTCTGGGATAATTGAGTCTGACTTATTAATAGAACCTCAGATCGATTACTTCTACGCTTACCATAACAGAAGTTCTGGAATACTATGAAGAAAAACTACAAAGAGCTGTTCTTTTTTCTTTTTCTACCCGCCTGTCGGTGATTCTTTGATTTTTTTTGTTTTTTTTTTTTTTTTTTTTTTTTCTTTAAGTTTAAAGACAGTACAATGAACTTGTACATTAAAAAAAGAAAAGAGCTTGTTTAATCAATATCGAATATGATTTTCAGGTCAGACGGTAAGACCGGAGGAATAAATTAATCATCAAGGGAAACAGTTGCATCTCGACAGGCGAATTCGTAACTTTGGAAAGATAGTGAGACCGATAATGATCGGATAACAAGCAATAAACTTTCACTTGATGAAGTTACCTCGAGTGAGAAGGCACTTTACTCGCATACGCCAATCCGCATTTTCGCATTTAACTCGACTCGCAAGAAGATCGATCGACTTACGTTTTGCTCTATATACATATACATTGCTCAAATATCATTCCGATACATTGTTTTTGCAACGTCGTCTCGCGTTTCTTCCTATCGCGATAAATACGCTTAAATGAAACTTGAGCGATGCAGCTGCATAGCGCAACTCCTAAATTATGTATCATTAGCAGATTATTTCTTATTTGTTCGTTACGTTCCCCGACGTTTATTAAAACTCCGTGCAGTTTATTCATTTTCAGAGAGAAAACGGGAAAAAGAAATTGAATAAAGAATTTGCATGCCGTGTCGGATGATACTGTAAATCAGAATAAAAGCCAAAAGGAACGAAGTAAAA